TTTTGTTTTGTTTTGTTTTGTTTTGTTTTGTTTTGTTTTGTTTTGTTCGTTTTTTTTTTAAATTATGTAACCTCATTTATTTGGTGGTGGTGGTATGTCTGTGTGGATTTGCATGTGTGTGAGTGTATGAACCATTTGTCACATGAGGAGACGAGAGGACACTTGCAGCATTAAGTTTTATCATGTGGGTCCGAGACATGAAACCGAGAACATCAGGGCTTTCCGGCAAGCACACGTACCTACGTAGCCATCTTGTCAGTCCCGACAAACACTTGCCTCTTGAAATACTAGTCACCTGAAAAATTCAGGCTGCCGGATCCTGTGTCCTGCACTACGGTTCTGGGGTGGGGCAAGAGTCGTGCAAAATGAGAATGAAGGTATTTTCATACAGTATTTAAATGAATCAAAGTGGAAAAACTTCAGTCAATGTCTCCTGTATTAGTAAGGTCCTTTTTAAAGAAACGTGCAACGAGCTATGGTTGGGTTAGTACAGAGTGGCATCCTGCTCTTGTTAACATTTTTGATATGTCTGTACATCATGTATTTTGCCTTTAAATTTTTTTAATTATAAACTCATTAACATACTTCTCTCCTTAACCCCCACCTCCAAGACCTCATTACAAATCCCTGGCCTGGCACTCACAGCATAGAGCAGACTGACTTCAAACTCAGAGATCCACCCACCTTTGCCTTCCCAAGTGTCAGGATTAAATGCACAAGCAAGTCTGGCCCCCAACATTCCTTTAGTATTTTTGGCCTCCCTTTTTTGCCACCCTATCCACAGAAAATGGTCCATAAAATCAAGACTTAATATCAGGCATGTGGCTCCTTAAGAGCTTTTGTGCTGAGTTCGGCTTATCTAGATTTCTTTTCTGTTTATTCTTGTTTTCTGATACGAGAGCTCACTCTGTAGGCCAGGGTGGCCTGGAACTTACAGGGACCCATTGTCTGAGCTTCCCTTATTCTGGGAATTCTGGAAGGGATTGCCAGTACTGTGGAGGATTGATGGTGTTGTTGTTGTTGTTGTTGTTGTTGTTGTTTGATTTCTGATTTGTGTTTATTTCTTTCTTTGTTTGAATGTTTCTTTTCTGTCTGCTGTGCTTTTAATATTTTCTTTCCCAAGGCTAGTAAGATGATGATTCAGTGGGTAAAAGCACTTGCCACCAACCTGGAGAACCAGAGTTTTGTCCCCAGGATCCACATCCACATGATGGAAAAAGGAAACTAACTTCTATTAGGTGCCCTCTAACCTGCACATGTTCACTATGGCACAAGAGTGTACATGCACACACATGCACACACACACACACACACACTCACACACACACCAAATAATTAAAATAAATGTAACATTTAATTTCCCCCAACACTCAGCACATTTGATGTTCTCGTGTATTAACTGTAAATTAGAAATCTCCATGTGCTCCCTATTAATCCATCTTCTTTTGAGATTATTCTTATGTCTTGACAAAGGACCTCACACAGGATTCCTCTGCATCCATTTGCTTTGCAACTATTGCTTTCTTTGGTTTTCTTTTGTTTTTAGAGGCAGAGTCTCCTACACCACCATACCCAGTATTACCAGCATTTCACTTGACATTGTTGTTGTGCCTGTGTTGTTGCTTTTAAAAATGCTTACTAGGGACATGTATGGGTTTTCATGTGTGCGAATGGTTCATTAATAATAAACTAAAATTGCTTGTAGAATTTGTTTAAAATTTCGAAACCTTCAAGATAAATGTCAACGATAGTGGGGGATGAGACCAACATTTTAAAGCAAATATAAAAGGTCCTTCACATATTTTCTTTCATATGTAATGCTAAATACTGAACATCTGCCATTTTACCCTCAGAAAACAACTGGCCAGATGGATGGGTGTGACTGAAGCCATAGTGAAGGTCAGTAAACCAAAGAAAGCCATTTGACAAGACAGCCGTTTTAGAACTTGCTTTAGGTCTTGGACTCATTCATCTTATGCATGAAATTGTTTTGTTGTTAACATAAAACTGTTTCAGAATAGTTTTAAGATTGTTTTATTTTTATGATGAGTATGTCTCTGTTTGCATATAAAACATGTGGCCTAGTGCCTAAAGAATCCAGAAGAGGACATAAATCCCTTGGAGGTGGAGTTACAGGTACTCTTGATCTATCCAAGATAGATGCTGGGAACCAAACTCTCGTCCTTGTGCAAGGGCAACAAGTGTTCTTAACCACAGAGCTGTCTCTGCAGATCCCTCAGAATTACTTTTGAACTTTAAGGCCTTTGTGAGTAGAAATGGAATAAGGAAGCCTCACCATGCACAAAGGGCATATTTCAAAATGGAATATAACTTCCTAAAGAAACAAGGAATAGCACTGAACTACTTCATTTCTCAGATACATATATATTACACATACATGCATTCTATGGATAAATTATAAACATACATGGCTTAACTTATAAAAATAGATGTTTAGTATATATAATTATATTAATTATATATAGATAAATAGACACACACATAGATATTCCCTATATAACAATGTGCAACTCCTTGTAATGCTGTTATCTTTTACATAGGGTTTCTCTGTGGAGTCATACTGAGGTTAGGGGCTCCATGATCCTAAATGCTCAAAATCTAGCATAAATTCTATCCTTAGAGGAGGAATTTGAGTTAGGTTATAGCTCACAGGCTGAACTGAGCACTCATAAAGCTGATGCAAACGCTGGTGTATCTGTCTGCCTGGAAATGCTGCTAACATCCTACAGTGTGAATTACAGTAGAGAGGGAAACAAGATGTGCAACCTTTGAACACTTTTCTGGGACTATTTTGCAGAGCTGGGGTGGAAACCAGAGCCTTCCACGTTCTAGACCAGCACTGAACCCTGTGCCAGCCCACCAGCCTCTCAGCCCCTCGGCCCCTCACTCGGTCCCTCAGTCGGCCCCTCACTCAGCCCCTCGCTCGGCCTCTCAGCCTCTCACTCGGCCCCTCAGCCTCTCGCTCGGCCTCTCAGCCCCTCGCTCGGCCTCTCACTCGGCCCCTCGCTCGGCCTCTCAGCCTCTCGCTCGGCCTCTCAGCCTCTCACTCAGCCTCTCGCTCGGCCCCTCACTCGGCCCCTCGCTCGGCCTCTTGCTCGGCCTCTCGCTCGGCCTCTCAGCCTCTCGCTCGGCCCCTCACTCAGCCTCTCAGCCTCTCACTCGGCCTCTCACTCAGCCTCTCAGCCTCTCACTCGGCCTCTCACTCGGCCCCTCGCTCGGCCTGTCAGCCTCTCACTCGGCCCCTCACTCGGCCTCTCAGCCTCTCGCTCAGCCTCTCGCTCGGCCCCTCAGCCTCTCGCTCGGCCTCTCAGCCCCTCGCTCGGCCCCTCCCTCGGCCTCTCAGCCCCTCGCTCGGCCCCTCACTCGGCCCCTCACTCAGCCCCTCACTCGGCCTCTCAGCCTCTCGCTCGGCCCCTCCCTCGGCCTCTCAGCCTCTCACTC